GGAAAATCACGCATTTTTCATATGAAAAAATATCGATATTTCAATGACCAATTCCGGCGAAATTTTGTACTACACCCAAAGAGTTAGCAAGCGGGAAATTGAGATTGGACCCCAATTCACAGAATTCAGCCATAATTCGGGCCATTATTACGCAAATGGAGGCAAACTTCATTTTTGAGCCAATTTTTATTTTTATGTACGTGTTTAAAATATGTACACGATGAAAATGGGAAACGGAATGGCTATCTTAGGTATGTAAAGATATTAGCTACAAGCGAGAGAGAGAGAGAATGAATGGAAAGCTTTAACAAGCAATGAACGAAGACTTTGTATATTGAATTGCTTTAATTTGAAGACAGACCAACAACAACTACATCAGCACTGTTAATACCAAACGATTAGAGGCAAAATATCAACGGAGTACCATTCAATAAATATAAAATATATTCCACAGAGTAGTAAACTATAGTGTTGCGGCTGCACATCCACATGTCTATGAGGCGTTGAGGCGCTGAGCCGAGAGCGCAGTGTGCCTTGCAAAGGCAAAACAAGTGCCAAACAAACAGATGAATAATTTATTTTAATTTCACGGTATTAAATATCGAACAACATGCAAGATACATAAATGCGAAAAAGAGATAAAACATGAAATCATCGCTATTATGGCGATTGCCAAAGCTATATGCCGAAATGTTTCGAAGGCAATTTTAGTTCCGCTCACCTCATTGTTGTTGTCGTCGTCATCATCATCACCATCACCATCAATACTATATTTCACTTGCGTTCGCTTCATTTCAACAGTAATGAAGCTTAACAATAATCGCAGTCTGAAACGGAAAATCATCCAGTATACAAAGGCGTAAATATGTTCACGACCGCGACTATATGAAGCATGCGATTTTGCATACAAACACTTTTTTTCTTCTTCTTCTTCTTCTTCTTTTTCGTTATTTGCACATTGTTTTCACTGCCTGCTATTCTACCGTCCAGACAACAACCCCGCGATTCATATTGCTGTTTGTTTGATCCGATTTAATCGTGTCAGTTCGTTTTTTCTTTGTGTGCCAGAAATTGAAATTAAACCACAACTAACGTGCCGCTCTTGCAATGTTTAAAGGTTCTGTTTCATTTTGCATTTTATTCATTTATGCTTAATTATATGCTACATCAAGAACGATCGACTCTTATTTTTCTCTTCTCGTTCACTTCCACAGCGTCAGTCATTCTCACATATATAAATATCACTTGAAGTGTGCATTTATTTCAATTAAATTGTGTGTAGATTGAGTGCAAAATGCTAGAAAATCGGATGGCATATTTATTTCGTGGATGAACTATTGCAACAGTCATTTGATATATACGTTTACCGGCTGTAGTTTTGCTGTATGCTACCCCCGATTTAGCTTACACTCTTGTCCCTGTTAACAAGCCTAATTTCGGAGCAAATTATCCAATATCAGATTCTGGAAAGAGTTTCACTCTCTGTCGCTTGCTTGAATAGCAACAATGAAAGTTTAAAGCTAAACTTGAAGTTGCCACTACCATAATTACGTGTCATTATATCAATTCATGCATGGTTCTATTACATACACACACACACGTGTGGACAAAGCAGGGTGGATAAGTGTATCAGTACATTTAAGTGTTTAATTATATAATAATTACGTTATGTTGGCTGCATGCCGCTCATTTTTTTCAGCCAAACCAAAATGCTTAGAGTTTAAACATTTAATTGGGTGCTTGAATCAATCGATTCAAAGAAGAATGTTCATTTTTTGTGTTTTGTTAATTAAAGCAAAACTTAAATGTGGGCTCACCTATTGTTGGGTACCTGGCTTAATGCTTGCTAAAAAGCTTAAATGTGTATTCGTAAAATGTAATTTTATGATCTTTGGAAAATCAATCATTATACTAAAAACACATTATCTATAATATTTTTGTTCATGTAATGTGATATCAAGAATAGTCGGTAAAAAAATTGTTTGTACCCAACTTTTTGTAATCGAGATAAATTGTTTTAAACCATCTCCACTTCAGATGGAGTGCTATCAGTATCATTGAATTGCAAAGCTGTGCGTATAGCGTCGGCTGATATTTTCTTACTATGTACGCTTATTACATAGAATGTGGGCAGTAATCTCATCGCTTCTTTAATTTACTCAATTTTTTGACAGAGAATATTGCTAAAATTGTATTAATGACAGACACTAATTAAGCACTAAATATTAGCATCATTTTTTTTTATCATTTCCGATCGATTTGGTATATTTCAATTTTTAGCGCACAGTCATGTATGGGGTGAATTTTCAAAACTGTCATAGGGTGAACCGCTAAATCTAAATATTGTACAGGGATTTAATGCTTAATTGGTGCCTCTTAATACCGCTTAAAGTAAAATCAGTGCTTCAATAGTGAATTCGAAATCGTATATTACTTTTAGGGGTTGAAATGGTAAAAGGGTAAATAAAAGAAAATGGTATAAATCAAAGAGTTTTTATCAAAACTCTTGCGAAAATGGTATTAATGGCAGGTACCAATTAAGCACTAAATCTTGGCAACAAAAGGGGATGATTTTTTCAACCCCCAAATTAGGGGATGACGGGAAACTATGTCCAATCGGAGGCACTAATTAAGAACTAAATTTTGGCATCATCAGTTTTTAATTTTTTTTATATTTTAAAATTTTGAAAAAACTACCCCTAATCACAAATTAATCACTAAAATACTACATCATTAATTTTTTGAAATGTTGTTTTCTTTCGAATTTTTTAAAATTTTATTCATAGACTTTTTGATGAATAGGCTTTTTCAAATTTAGGCCTGTAACTTTTTTCTGGTGAGTCACAAATTCTAAAAATTGCGTCATAAATTTTCACTAATTAATCACTAAAATTCTGTGAAGTTTGAGCTAGGGGGTAGACACGCAATCCAAAAGAACAAACCTATATGAAAAAAATAAATCTCTTTAAATTATTGCGAGTAAATTATAAATATTTCAAATCATTTTGAATTTTTTCGAATCATTTCAAATCACCGCTTGACAGTTCGTATGACACTTTACAGTGAAGTTGACTATCGATGTTTGCATGCATGTTATATCAAAAAAAATATCAAGTTAAAGAATAAAAATACAAAGAGATTTAATATTTTCGAAATGTGTTTTAACTATAAACGAAATATACTTGATTTTTTAATTAAAAAAAGGTTTTTGCTTGCTCAAAAAAAAACAAATATTGATATAGAATTTTATGCTTTGTTTTAGTATTGTAAAGTCACTTGTCAAATAGATTCAAATCATTCAAATAACAAATGAATAACAACGAATCATTTGAATCATGTCTACGCCTTGAGTTTGAGCCCAATCGGGTACTTTGACCCCCTGGGTAGTGTACGCCGGTTAAATAGGATGTGTGCACAATCCGTATGATTAGATTTTTGTAGTTTAAAAAAATAAAAATATTCCAACAAAAATATGCAGTTTCTTATAAATGCCAAACTCATGGAGCAGACTCAATGAGCAAACGTCGCAATAAATCGAATTTAACTTCGCAATCAAAGATTCCAATTAATTTTCATCAAAAATATGTCTTACAAAATCCGTAAGATGAACTTTTCCGCACTCTGATCCATATATATTTTATAAGCCTAGTCCAAAATAAAATCAAGACTTTTCTCTTCACACTACGTGTGGGCAGAAATGTAATAATCTCACTTTATTGTATAAACCACGTGACATTCAAATCAATCCACATTTTATGATCTTTGGAAAATCTAAGGATTGTTCCTCTGAAGATTGTTCTTCTTTTAACTAAAAAAAATATTTTTGTGATGAAAATCGCTTTTTGACCAACAACATTTCCCCCCAGCGCACTCCTCCTCCTCTTTCCCTCCGCACCATTCCTCCTCCTAAGAGGAACAATCCTTGGGAAAATCAAACATTTTACAAAAAAACACATTATATTTTTGCTCATGTAATGTGATATCAAGAATAATCGGTAAGAGAGTTGTTCGTACCCAACTTTTTAAACCATCTCCACTTCAGATGGAGTGCTATCAATATCAATGAATTGAAAAGCTCACGAGAGGTTACGATGTACACAACAATCGTTTCTTCCCTCTCTGTTTCACACAGTTCAATGTAAATGCCTTTGTGCATGTGAATGTATGTGTGACTATTGCTTTCATGTGCTTCGCACATACAGTTCGACTGCTCTAACCACTATCGCTGCATTATGCTTCACCCGCACAATACAGCCTGTGTATGACTAGTGCTATTTTGGTGGGTTCGTTCATTTATTTTAGGAAATGTGACAGAACGAAACAGGTGAATTAGAAATTCCTTCGCATTCAATCAAACAACTGAATCAAGTTTTGGTGCCAAATGATTTTTAGAATAAGAAATGAAAAACACAACAAAGATATTAATGTTTAATTACGATAAACTACAAGTCAACTAAAAGTGGTTGTTATTTGCTCAAATTTCGTGAATTTTAGTTTAAATTGAATAATATTATTGTCAGTATTGTGTGAATAAGAAGAGAAAACATATACATCGAATAGTGAGTGAAATGTCAGCTGGTAATTGTTCGATAGTGCCAGTACCGCCATCGCCTCAAGGGATTTTAAAAAAATCAAAAGAATGTCGTTATAATCGACGAATTTTAACAAATTCGGAGTTACAAAGTGATTGTGGATGGGCGTATCAAATACCGGAAGTTCAAAGAGCAAGCTCTTTGGCTCATGTTTGCATCAAATCAAAACCGAAATATTTTTGCATCAAAATTGGCATTCAAGCAATCTTACAAAATGGTCCAACATGTGGTTTAACTGCATTGAATATGCTAACGGACGGCATTCCTGCCACACAAGATATTCTCGAGCTGGCCAAACGAAAACGTTTCACCAACCATGGCGAAATTTTTAGTGTCAAATATCTAAAGGAACTTGCTCAACTCGTTTTTGATTCAATTAATTATCCAGTATCGATTGAATGTTTTGCGGGTGAGCTCAACTGTGATCGCATCAAGACTGAACTCATGAATGGTGCTTGCCTTTTGGTCGCGTATCCTTTTTCAATGTAAAACACATTATAAAATACACAACGACATTTATTTCCTCATTGTTGTTTTTTTTTTTTTTTTTTTTGATACGGCAACAAAATTTTACACATTCAATTAATTTACAAATCACGTGCTCATTGACACTTGTTGTCAACACATTAATTCCGCTCAGCAACAAATCCGATTGGTATGATATTCAAATTGGTCGAACGCATCTAAAAAAAGAATAAAATGTGACACAAACACAGAGGATTCGCGCGCACGCACTTATGAATGCCTTTGCAGTTCATCAACTCTTTGGTCGATTTTTGAATATAAAAAACAATTATGGCAATGACACAAACTTGAACTAAATTACACACAACGCTGTGAATCGATGTGGCATCTGTGTGTTGTGTCGATAAATGCTATAAATACAGATGGATAGATCGCAGAGACACCTTTTTTTTTATTTTTAGTCTTTTAAATGAATTTCATTGACGTTTGACACTGAAATTGAAGCAAATGCATTTATAACCCCTTCCGAAAATTGTACGCTTTGATTTTCCTTATATCGACTTTAATCAATCCGGCAGTTACGATTCCGATTTTAATCATGCACCCTGTCTGAAGAATGGACACAAGGCACACTGGACTGTTATAATTGGCTGTTTAATTGATGATCAAAATAAAGTAAGCATTTTGTAAGATTTGAAATTCGCTGGAAATTAAAATGTGTTTTCTTCTTTCAGTTTTACGTATTTGGACGTCATGGGAAAACGAAAAATCTGGCTTTATGGTCATTGGGTGCATTGAGCGATAGTAATGCAAATTTAAACGAATACACGGCACCTCATCGGTACGATGAATATTCCTTCCAAATGCCCGTTGATGGTATAGCCGGCGAAAATGGGCTGAAAAATCAATGCATCATCATAAATGGCATTAAAAATGCCGGCGATTTCATCTTCCCAAACGATGAAAAATTATGATATTGAATTTGTCTGCAAATGAAATTGAAAAAAAAAATCGACCAGTTTTTTACAAATGTAAAATAAACCAATATGTAAACAACGAATCATTTTACAACGAAAAATCAGTATTTTGTTTTTTTTTTCTCCTCAAATGTTTTATTTTCATATAATTGTTCAATTATAATAATACAATTTTGTATAATTTTGTTTTTGTTCACAATACAGTCAGTTTGTGAATATTTTTTGTGTTGTTTTTTTTCTCTCATTTTTTATGAAGTTATTTCTATTTTATTTTTAAAATGCTCAATAAAATTATCATGTTTTTATAATAATAAATACCATTTTCTTTCTAAATAGAGCGTTTGCTACGTTGAGCGTAATTTTAATACGAAATCATTGTCCGGTCCCAAATATCGTCAACGGAATTCCATTTTTTTTAATTCATTTTCATCACAATAAACAACAAAATGCATTCCTATCCATTCGCGAATGTTCATTCTAAATACAATTTTGTATATTTTCGCTCCGCGATTATAAAATCACATGGTTAAACAAAATCAAAAGTCTTCAATAAATTAAATCCATCAGATAGTTTGAATTCTATCGTCTATTGCAAAGTATAGTCCATTGACTTCGGAATTCATTTTATATGCCAATGCGCATATGCTTGCATAATAGTTTCAACAAACTGTTGAAAAGTGTAAATGCATTTTTTTGCGCTTCGCTGTTTTTGTTTTAATTTCCATATTTAGCACTTTCATGGATGTGTGTGCATCACACCGTAATTAGTTCCATTGAAAATATGCGTTTACAATGGAATAGATGAATTGCGGAAAAAAGAAAACTTTCACCGCCTGAACAAGTGAATATGCGGACGTTTCAGCTTCAGTTGGTAACAATTAAACCGAACGAAAGTAAAAACTGTACGAATTTTGTTTTGTTATCATTTAGACGAGCAGAGAATATGAGTATTCCAAAAGCGACAAATTCAAAGTGGAATACATTTCTAAATAGAAAAGAGAAAAGCAACAATATTTTTGATTTGTTCTTATATGTATGCGATAGCCTTAATTATTTGCAGAAACACATATAAGATTGAAATGAAAAGAAAAACGAAAATAAGAAAATTTATTATCATTGTCACCTACTCAGTTTATCTGAGTGTTTTTTTTTTATCTGTTGTTATTATCTCTAAACAAATCGGCTAAAATTGAATACATGCAGCTTAGTGGTTATTATGTGAATTGGTTGAACATCGATATAAGGTTTGTTATTTGTTCGGTTGCTTTCTTTGCATCGAAATCGGATATATCAAATTCTCTTTGGCCCATTCGGGTAGTCATTTCGGTTTGAAATGCAAATAATATGCATAGTTTCCAATATAGATGGACAATTCCAATGGAATGGCTTTACTTGTTTTATTTACATCCAGTAATATTTCCTACAGGCCAATATCAATTTTCGACCAAATAAAAAAATGAACAATTCATTTATTACAATGACATTTTGGTGATTCTATTAAAAATTCTGTAGAAGATTTATATTAAAATGTGCCTTGAGCTGCGCATTGTAACAGTGTTCAAACAATTGATTTTTTTCATTGGGTGAATTTTTTTTATTATTTCTAAAATGTCACAGAATTTCACCATAGATTGACATTTTCCTTGCCAATATTTGATGTATTTTATAATATGCGTATGCAGCACGTGATTATGATCAGCTATTACAAATCGACAAAAGAATCTGACACCATTGTCATTAATGAAGCTCAATCGGACAATTTTGGTCGAGAAAGGGAAAAGATTTGCGAAACCCATGTAATTATTATAGTCGGATCATCGCCAGCTCGACGTTTGCATGCCAAAATCCAAATGCGAAGAAATTAAAAATGTAACAATTTTGATTTTGTGGTGCTGGGCGAAACAGTATGCGTAGATTTTTTTTTATTTCAAAAAGTCTTTTTATATATTCAATTGATAGTAATCATAGTGCTTTCTGTTCCATGTATTAACATTTGAATTTTGCGCCATGGCAACCGTAAAAATGACTGAAACTATAGACAAATGCTGCCCAACATTTGATCTTGAACACATTCCTGGATGAATTTTCACTAACAATTGTCCTTGGGCGGATGTAGCAAATACTCTGAGCAACCATTATTATTTTTTTTTTTTTTGGTTTTTTTTATGAATATACATATTACTAAAATTTTGTCACAATCTTTCATTTTCTTACTTACTTTCCGTATTCGAATTCAGTTTTCAGCCTTATAAATATATCATCTATGCGAACAATAAAACATTGCAATGTCCAATTGTTTTTTTTTTCTTTCGAGATCCATTTTTTTAATAAATTTGAAGAGCAAAAGTATATATATATCCTTTCCTTTTAATGAAGCTATGATGGTTATCAAGATGTTATATATATATTGCATGTATTTTCGTATATTTCTTAAAAATATATGATGCACCATTCAATGATAAAAAAAACTGAGATACATGCGAAGTGATACATTTCTCTCCTCTGAAAATAGGCAAAGTCACGATCACATGATTCGTTTCTTTCTTTTATTTTTTTTTCGATTTTTTTTTAATTGTCTATAAAATACAATGAAATGTCTGTTTTTAGTTTTACTGATATTTTTTTGTGTTGCTTTTTCAATAAAATGTTCTTTTATTTTTTCATCTATTATCTAAAAAAAATCTTCGTTGAAATTCCTGTTTTGATGTTTTCCTTTCGATTTCATTATAACGTCTCTATGTTCAATATGCTCTGAAATTGTGAACAGAATGCGCGCCCTGAATAATAATTTCTTCATTTTCCAATCATGGCTGATGATTTTATTTGAATTTTTTTTTTTTTTTTTTGAAAATTTTGCCGTTGAAAAATGAAATTGTCCTAAAAGCGAGCCCTTCTTTCTTAGTTTCACGAAAAGTTCAATCAGCGGTATGGAAAGACAAACACAGAGTACATGTATGCCTTTTTAAAACAGTCCAATTAATACATTTAATTGAACTCACCCGGACAGTAAAGTTACTGCAAAACATTTTCCCATCGGTTTTCTAAAAAAAAAAACAGTTTTTAAAATCATAATCTGCACAATTCAGCTCAGATCAATTTATATATGCAGAAATATTAGCAATGAACATTTATTATTCGATTAATTCCAGTTTACTTAAATGCTTTTTTGTTTTTTGTTTTCATTAAACGATATGTGTTGTCCTCTGTATGCTTGACTATCAATCAACTGTGCTACGTCAATTTTTTTTTTTTCATCAATACTGTATCTCAACCAATGCAATAATAGTAACTTATTTATGCAATAGATTCTTTTTTTTATATTATTATAATTACTAGTTGTTAATGGTGTAGCCGTCATACTGATTTGAGCTAATAAATTTTCTATGCGATAATGAATCTCACTCGATTGTGTTAGTTGATGATATTATTATTATTTTTTGTTGTGTCGACATTTTCTAAAGAAATTTTAAAATTGTGTTTCCTCTTTATTAGTCTCTTTTGTCTTTGTTTTTTTTTACAATATTATTCGATCCAGGTTGGCGTAAGAATCACAAAATTAAAAACCACAGTTTCAATGAGTATATATATTTTGTTTTTTTTTCTTCATCTTTTCAGTGATGTAAAATACATTTTGGTATTTTTTTGGTAAAAAAAACTGGCTAAAAAAACTTATGAATCATATAGAATTAATTAAAACCGTTTACAATAAATTAGAACATAAAAGCAAATGTTTTCAATTTCATTTTATTTATCAAATTTTTAATTGATTCATTTTCTCTCGTTTTTATTTCATTCGATACTGTCTTTTGGAATTTCGGTTACTCATTTCATTCTTTCGTTTCTTTCGTATTTCTTATTTTTTACAAATGTTTTAGGTTCACTATGCAATTTAGGGGGCAACCTTTGATTCGAATTAATTACAATCGGTTGTTCTGTCAGTCACAAAAAATAATTTGTTTCTGCTTCGTTTATTCTACTTTATTCAATTTTTAATCTTATTTTCGTTTGTGATTAATTTCGTTTTCTCTCGTGTATGTAAAAAAAACGCTTGTAGGAAAAAAAGAACTCAATTGAGATACATAGTTCAAGATTAAAATAATAAAATTAAATTAAATTTACATTAGTTATAATAATCAAAGGACTAGCAGCTTTATGGTTTTTATATATGGTTATATTAATATTTTAGAACAATGCAAACCGCATTTTAATCGCGACAATGATATCAATTGATACAGAATTGATAAAATAAAGCATTTGGATATATAAATATATTGCTCCGGAGTAAGCGAAATAAACACAGATGCTTTGATCAATACCTAAGAAAAAAAAAATATGTGTGTGTGTGTGTGTAAATTCATTGGTGTCACATAAAAATTCGGTTGCGATCTGTGTATTTTCTCTCTCAGACATGTATCATCATTCATCGTCATCTCCATCACAATCATCGTTGAAAAGAGTTTTAAAAAAACGATGCTTGTCATTCATGTCCTAGTCTAATATCGATACGTAATTGGTAATATTTATGATTATTTTTGCAAATGTGGATTTTTTGTTCTGTTTTTTTCTCTCTCTCTCTCTTCATTTTCCTCTGATGAGTATAGCAATGTTATTATCGCAACAGATAACGAGAGTTTTTGTTTGTAGTGTGATGTATGTGATTCGATTAATAACATTTAAGATGTTTTTGTTGCCAAGGAAATTCAATTTAAAAAAACACACAATATATTTTATTATATAGATTATGCCACAAATTGTGATTAATAAATGTTGTACGAATTCCTTTTAACTTACTAAGCTACCATGCTAAAACTTTGTTTTCTTTGGATTATTTATTAGTTGTTCTTTTTTTTTATTCGTTTACTTTTACTGAAGCGGTCTGCCCTTTTCCACAAAAGGGTTGTCGTTCGTATGAAACAACGATTTATCAGCAAAAGAACAATTGACCTCATTCACTCAAAAAGAAAACCAACAGACGAAATTGCAGGACATTTTATTTGTTTGCTTTTTTGTTGATATTTCTGTGTTGTTCCACAAATCACTAAACTAAAACCAAAAACTTTTTTTCTTTCTTTTAAAACACAATGAACAGGATTTTTCTTAAAAGTTTACACAAGTTTTTTTTTTTTTATACATACATACAAATTATACAAATACAAAGATGTTGTTGTTGTTATTTTTCTTTTAATTTTTTTTTTGTTATTCATTGTCTTCATTTATGATGTATATAATGCAATGCACCATGCATTTTTCTTTTAACTTTTTCATCATATGCTCAATGCATTGGAATTGATGACGATTGTTATTTAATTCCGTCTCAATCACTTATAAAACATCATAATAAATCTTGTTTCAAGTTCAAAATGACTAGGATAAATCGGATGGTGTCAATTGAGCGCCAATGAGACCAACTGGGAAGTTTTTTACATGCGTTTGCCATTGTGATGATAATTGAAAGAATTTCACGCCAGTCCATTCGGTTCCATCGATATACACTAAAGTTAGTGAAATAGAAAACAATTTTTTAATCTTAATATCTAAAAGCACTAGAATTTGGTGAAAAATGCAAAGAAAAACCAATGTAATACCTCTCAATGGGATCGGATGTGATTGTTTTGGATTCGGACTGCAAATGAGTCGTGAAACACCATCAACAAATTGCTCTTTCTCTTGGTCACGATCTTTTTCTTTCTTTTTTCCCAATCTCATGACTAAAAGAAAAAGAAAATTAACCGATGTGGAAATAAGTCAAGAATATAAGAAAGAGAAAGAGGCGGATGCATACTTTTCTGTTTCTTTTCTTTGGTCGCATAGTTGACTACAAGTCCCTGGGAAATTTCTCCCGATTGTGGATTCAATGGTAGACGGCACACCTATGAAAGAGAACAAAAAGTGTTTTATAAAACGAACTTTATTAAGTGTTTCGAAAACGAAAAAAAAAGTCGAATTACCTGTAAATTTCTGAATGTGCCTTTTATGCTACATTTTCCTTGGTCGAAACCTTTAGCCAAAATTTTATCTTTGTCAATGGTGGTTTTGATGAGCCAATATTCGAGTTGCAGTTCCATTGGTTCCTGTTGCGATTGTAATTGAAATGTTTGCGATTGTTGTTGCTGTTGTTGTACTTGCGGCATCACAATTTGTTGTAACGATTGTTGATGATGCAATACTTGAACGCTTGATGGCGTGACCGGAGGTGATGTGCGACCACTGTGCGGCGGCGATGATCCCGACAATAGACTGTTGCCACTCGTTTGTTGAGATTGTTGCAATAATCCCGATATTAAACTCTCATCCAAATCAACCGACAACTGATGTGGTTCGATTGAGCCCAGTTTCACATCCTATTTAAATACAAATTAAAATCATCGTTCAATCAATGTGTACCGATTTTCATTCCACACACACACACACACACACTACTTACACAAACAAATGGTACAAAAATTTGACATGAATCTTCATCTTTATAATTAACCATTGCTTCGGCGATGGGAATTTGTGTGCATGGTCCAGCTGTGTGTAAATATCGCTGAATTCGATTGAGAATCTCTTGAATCTCTGGTTTTGCTTGAACTGGATCGATCGAAGCGGCCGATTCACATAATTGAGTCCAACTATCGTTACCAAACATTGATGCATATGAACTATCGATTGCGCTTAGATATCTTGATATGGAACTAGAACCTAATTGGAAAACAACCAGCCATTTAGTTAGAAATATCAAATGCATGTTAGAAATTTGACGGAGAGAAAGAAAAAACCGACTTACATAACGGAACAATATAAAAACGAATATGATTCACCCAATCTGGTGGTCGTACACCAAGTAAATCAACATAATGCCGTAATACTGCACCCTGCAACCAATCGCCACCAACCAATAATACTTTGATTGTTGTTGGCGGTTTTGCCGTTGAATTGCAACTGAAAAACAAAACAAAAAAAAATCGAGAAAATTTACATCTTAAATTCACATCGAAAGAATCACCGATCGATCTTACTATTTATGAATTTTATTCATAAGCGCCTGCAAAACGGCACGTACTTCGGCCGTATTTTGTGGTGAAAATGTTGGTCGAAGTGAAGCTGAAAGTAGCGGTGCTAGTCGTTGCATTATAACGGTACTATGTGATTCAGGCGGTCCAAAAATTGACAACACATCGGGTAAAACGGCTTCTTCGGTTGAAAATGTTCGGGTTAGTTGATCCAATAATGATTTTCTTGGTTCAACATTTGTTGGCGATAAACATGACTCTAATACTGATTTAAGTGTTGTTGCTTGTTGATCTGCTGTTAAACTAAGCGATTGCTTCTTTTTGCTGTTCGGTGTATTGCTAGTCGCGCGAAAAAGTTTATTCCGTCGCTCTGTAATGGTTTCCTTTTCACGTGGTGGACTATTTGTTGCATTTGCTGATTGTTGTTGCGATGGATCAGAGTTTTGCCCTTCTAAATCAGTACCAGCAGCACCCTCATTACCTGAACTGTCGTTCTTCCAATCGCCTTTCTCTAATGAAACAAATTCACAAAATCCAAAAAAAAGAAAACAAAAATCAAACCACTGTTGAATTGAACTTTTGAACAATGAGCCCAATCTGTATGTGTGATAAGCAGTTTGGTGGGAAAATTCTTAAAAAAAAAAACAAACTCAACGAAAAAAAGGTGTTTTTTTTATTGGAAGTTCAGTTGAAAGTCAATAAGAATTAAGATTAGTAAACTGCACTCCAGTGTTATATTATTACTTAGTAAAAGACATGAGTGAGGAAGAGGGGGCATTGCATTAAGTATATCAAACATTTTGAGGTAGAATTGCACTGTTCGACAGAGAAAACAAAAGAAATATAACAAGAAAAATAAATTAAATTGTGGACAACATTGTAGACGTTTATGAGGAGTATTTCGTATTCATTCGGCGATAAAAATCGGTGACGAAATTCCAACCGAACTAATTTTCATTCATGCTTGAACACAAAAAGAGTGAGAAAGATACTTTTTTTTCACGTTACAGAATGAATTCTATTACACACACAATGTCGGTGATTTGTATAAAATGGATATAAATATAATATATGGTTGTCTTATCGTAATGTCAGTGCAATGAGATCATGCAATTTTTTTTAATTTTTTTTTTTTTTCAAAGGTGAAGAAAATAGAAGCAAATGTTCTAATCTAGAATTTCGAACGTAAAAATATTTACCTATGAAACTACAAGATTTTTAAGGTTGCCTTTTTTATAACAAACATCCAATAGGAAATTGATTCGATGCAATTTTTTTATATAATTATTTTGAATATACAATATAAAACTGGGAGATGGATCTCAATATCGACTTGGCTTGTAACACACATAAGTCTGCTGATTTTGAGAACCATCTTAATGAGTAAGAATATTGTGATTGTGCTCAAGCATACCGTGTGACTAATTAAATTTAACCGAAAATTGCATGCAAATTCTGAAGAAGCCTATTCAAATGAATCTTCCGCACGATTCATTTTGCTTTTTGGGAAAATTTCAAATGTACTCAACAAACTATGAATACATATTTCTTTGTATAATATAAGTGTGAATATGTGTAATTTCTAAGGTATTTGTGTGTGTGTGTGTCTGTGTGTGTGTGGTGCTTTGAATTGTGAAGGATAGAAATTCCATTGTTTATTTGAACAGGGGTTCATTTTGATGAATTTTATAATTTGCAAGTGGTGGGTTTTGTTAACAAAAAAAAAATTGTAATTGAGGGTGATATTGTGCGAAATTTCCTTTGGTAGGTTTTCTAAATGCATTCCCATAAGTTTCCGTAATGTTTTTTTTGTGAAAGATGTCGTGTGTCTATTTTAGACAAAAAACGGTTTTGTGAACGGTTGTTTAATTTAAAATGTATCATAAGACAGTTAGAGGGTGAGATAGAGAAAGAGATTTTTTTTGTGTATGTGAGAATATAAGACAGCGAAATAAAATTATATTAGTAGTTTTTAGTAAAAATGGTGTGTAGGTGTGAGTCAAAAGGGGGATTTAAAAAGAGTTAATCTAAATTAGATTCAACATTCATTTATGAACATAACAAACCTGATGTGATTGAATTAGCACTTTTCTTTTCGGCAAGTCCATCATATTTTTCGGTTGTGTGTCGGTGATTAATGCCTGTATATGAAATTGATTTCGTTTGGTTTTGTTCTGTTTTTTTTTTTTTTTGGTTTGGTATGATTTGGTTTTTGTTGGAGGTTTTTTTTTGTTTCATTTGTAAAAGCCATGCACAATTTTAGATATACATAACACGAATAAAATGAAAATAAAAACAAAATCTGTTGATATGTATTTGTTTCGCCAAATGTGAATATCGAAAGAAAAAAATGATAAAATGTTCGTAATTTATATGCGAATACATAACGATAACAGCTATATTTTGAATTTAAAACAAAAATAACGAAAACGTTCTTGTTGTGTCAAATGTATAAAGAAATGCAATTTATCATCTACAAGAATATGTATACGGCGAACAAAAGACATATATAGCATATTTCTGATCAAATTGTCGCTTTGATAATTCTTAATATATATGTAATGGATGTAATAAATATTTTTGATAATTATAAGATGAAACTGAAAATGTCCAACTCAACTGAGAGACAAATGCAACATATACTACTTAATTAAATGGATACTGATTCGTTTTCGTGTATCGAACATACTCTTGTTTGTTGTTATTGTTATTTATTTCTTGACTTGTTAGTTAGTCGCATACAGTAGTGTTCGTTCATTTGAATGATAACACATTTTCATGCTCATTGCTGAAATTGCATTCTTGCAAGGGAGAGAGAAGAATATAGAAACAGATTGGTTGACAGAGCTTATAAAATAGATGTGCACATACATCGTGGAAATTGGAAACGATTGCACAAATCAACTGCAGATTCTCTTTCGCATTTCAAATATGTTTTCTCTTAATTAAATCATTGTATAGTATGCAGTTTAATTGATGGCATTTAGTGTAAATGTCAATGGTGCCACCAAACGGAGAGCTCTTCACCATTCCATGCAAACAATATATATCTTCGTGTCGAAAATGAAAATGATATGGATATTCTTAGATGATCAATGAACAATGTAACTCATATTTGAGACAAATAGAGCATGTGTGTGTGTGTTTCTATTTCTGAAGAGAATTTTAATTTTCATTCGCAGAAGAGAGAACTTGAATGATAAGCGTGCGCTGAATGGAATTTTCAAATATTTTGTTCCTAATTTAAATTATCTCTCAACTTTGACATTTCAAAGTGCGTTGGCTCAACCATACAAATTGAAAGAAAAAAAAAGAGTGGTTGTTGCTGTTGTTGATGATGAAGAAAGTAAATTAAAACCAACCCATTAAATTTTCGTGTAGCATGTTTTTTGAATTGGTAAAAAACGGTCGCAATGATGGTTTTGGTGTCGATCCAACCGATAAACTGTCCATATCTGGTCCAGAATCATCACCCTCACAACATGACAACGAATCCAATTCCTGGAATAATGCATCCAATTCACGTTCGCCTCGCAATGCTCCCGGCCCACGGGAGCCACCTCCTTCCAATTCATCTGGCACTTTAAATCGCTTTAACAATGCGATGATTTTTTGCTTGAAATTTCTTTGCTAAATTTTTGAAAAAAAATTCATCTCAATCACTGTTTTTCTCCTTTTTTTTTTTGTTCATTTGGTTATATACTCACGTGACTGATTTTGGCTCGTGATGTGCCTTTAACTTTAATATTTTCAAATTCACTGTCACTGTCAGCTGGATTGGCTCCAAGCGCGCCATCATCCACCTCACCATCGTTTTCAACTTGATCAATTTTACGATATTTACGCAAATCACGTTTCATTGCATAACCACGTTTTGCATCGTAACCGGTGAGATGATCAGCACTCACGCCTGGCCCATTTCCGCTTCCATTATTTGGATCGTATTCGCCTGAACTAAATTCAATTTCTTCGTCTTCGTCGGAAAATTCGTTAACACGATCTGTTCAAATGAAGTTTAGTATATATTGTATTCATATTTTTAAATGTCATATCTACAATATCTTTAAACAAAATTCAAATCACTTTTCGAGCTATTTGTCAATCTCATAATAAATCTATTTGACGTGAGAAAAGATCGAAAATGTGAAAGATATGCCGATTGAAATAGATGTATATACAAACCTGCTAAAACAACGCTATTATTATTTTTATTGTCATGATCCACGGGTATCGATGAAACACGATCTGCTCGTAGTGTGGCAACGGTGCATCCTTGACGCCCGGATTTGCCGCTTGCGGTTAATTCAACAGTCATATCCATCGATTTTTGTAAAACCGCATCCATTCGGATGATGCCTTCAGCTAACGTTTTATAACCCAATATTGTTCGACTTTTATACTTTTTACGCCTTTGCAACAGTATCTGTAGTCTGTGTGAAATCAATTTCGGATTAACGATTAAAACGATTGAAATACATTACGAATAAGATAGAGCAAACATAAACTATGCCATTATTTTTTTTTTTGTTATACATTGCACCTTGGCTACATTTGGTTCGTGTTGCGTGCAAACCATTCGAGGAAAATGGCACGCTCTCAATGGGAGACAAGAGAGAGCTGAATAAATACAGTTTGATGTTGAAAATAGTACGAACCTGTTTCCATCACGTTTGATAAAATGTGGATATTGTAAGCTAAAATGTAAATCTAGATCAGTTTCGAAGAATGATGATGTGCCGCTACCGCCAATACTGCCAAATGATGTGTTGTTTACATTGCATGCGGCCAATGATGGTGGAGCACTGCCTGTCATACTACTACCAAATCCAACGCTATTGCTACCCGTAAGAAAAGTCTGTGGCACTGGTATTTCATGAGACCTTAATGTGCGTTTTGAGCTTTGCATTTTAACAGCCAACGATAATGATGTTAGATCCGAAGGTAATGGCATCATAAGCGTAAGTCTTGTTATCGACAACGAACATAATCTGCAAATGGATAAAAGAGAGAAAGTATTAGTGGACGAGCTAAAACAAAAATATATATAGTGATTTCATGATGTTTAATAGATTTTTGCCAGGTGTTTTTGATCTTTACAAGTGTGAAAAAAGACCAACGTAGAAAGTTATTTTTGTTCAGTTTGAATTTGACGGCCAATAAAAAAATGCTTTTATTCCGTATTTTTTTCCCTTGAATTGTCTGAATGTAACAGTACTTAGACATTGAGAACATGAGTTCAATGAGTAAGATGAAATAATCCGTGTGAAGTGAATTACGTAATCTTCTGCATTGAAATATACAGTTTGATGTAAGAGTCACCATGTATAAAATATGATTGCATTTTATAGATTAAACGATGTGAAATAGTAATTTATTTGAGTGCCTGTGTGATCTGTAGAACAATCGTATGGAATGTATACAATCATTGAATGGAATGAATTCTCTGCGGGTGCAAAGTTCATTATCGTGCACAAACAGAGTAATTTACGATTGCCATTCAATTCACTTAGTTTAATTTGATGGATATATTGCTCACTTGCATAATAATCCACGTTCCTAATAAATTCAAGTCCAGCTAGATGCAGCAACAGCAACCGTAATAATCCTTGCACAAAAACAATGGCTCGGGAGGAATATATTTTATTGGAATGTATCGGTTCGCTTGTTTTAATGTTGTGCCACAATGTTGTTGGGTGTTTTTTTTTTTGGTATGTGTAAGCATGCGAATACTTGTTTTTGTTTGCAGTGTCATCAGGATATAAAACATTTATTCGTATTTTGGTTTGTATTGAAAGCGAGCATGCTTGAAAATTACCAATTGTTTGGCCACCGTAAACAAACAATTATCGACCTATTCAAGTGTTCAGTTTAATTCATTGTTTGGTGTTGTCAGTCGATTTTCCATGGGACTAAGTGAAAATAATATTTCACGCCTGATGCACTTTATTTATGCGATTATTTTCAAATGAACGAAAAAAAGCCATGCGACTTTTTACTATCGTCCAACTGGGAAAACATTTTTACCCATTGTGCGCACAAAAATAATGGAACAATGAGAACCATAGCTGGGCAGACTGAAAAATTCACGGGGGATTGGGGGGGTAATTTTCTCAAAAACTCCTAGCAAAATAGGAAAATTTCAATCTATGATTCAAAAACCCTAGCAAAATGAGAAAAATTCTATCCAAAATCATGAATTTTGTAAAGAGGTAACGCAAAAATTTGATGCCTCAGGAGGGGGTAATCCTCCCCCTCCCCCCTGTCTGCCCAGCTATGATGAGAACTGTGCGCATCGCATCGTTGAATATTATAGTTTTTGGTCATCATAGAGAAAGTGAGATAGAAATATATTGCAGTGTGCATTCTGGTATTTATTCTGGTGTTGCTGGCATAAACAAATACATTGCTTTTGTGCAATAAAACTCAACGCTTCAATGAAAATACCACAAAACTTGGATTATTATTTCATGTCTGAAACCGAATTGTGCCAATAAAATTAAATCAGTTTTTGTTGTAGCTGTTGCTTTTTTCGTCGATGGTTATGCATAGGCTTGTCGGATTTTTTTCCTTTTGGTTTCTCTCTAAACTTTTTTCTTAGATCGATGTATCCATAATTTGAGTTTTTAAATTGAAAATACATAAACATTTCGAAATATGACATCGGTAAAAAAAATCTGACGAAAAAAGACGTACAAAATCCAACAAGCCTAGCCATGAATGCGTTGCATTTTCGCAAGTTATTTTGATGAATTGGCTTGTTTTCTCTTGTGCAATACGCTTGGCCAAATCGAAATGATGGTCACGAATACAAATTCTTCTTTCAATTGCATGTTAAAGATTTCATTGTAACTATTAAGAATTTTAATGCATCTCAAGAATAAAAAAGACTGTTGGCAGAGATAGGAAAAAGAAAAATAGAGAGAAAGATATCAAAGAGAAAATCGATCCGTTATTCGCGGAATTATATTTTGTTTATGGTCAGTGATTGACACGTAAACAGAAGCATAAAACTATTTCCAATAAAAAGTGCGGCAGAATTCGATTTTGTGAAAGGGCGTATCAAACACCCACCAACATTACATTTTCAGTAATTTATATAAAATGGCGTTGCAGTGCCACTTTGAACATATAATCAAAGTACATTCATACTGATGATTCTCTGGAAATGATTTTTTTTTAATGCGCTTGATCATTGAAAGATTTCATGCTGTTCTACATTTTGATTATAATTTCTATCGAAATAGAATTTCTTTGATACTGGCGAGTCTGTCCAATCAAGTAAGTATTTGATGGGAGAAATCAAAGTAAATGGAAAATTTTCTTTAACGTCGCGTCGAAATAGAAAAAAAAATATCCCAAGACAATTTGACTGATTTTTGTTTGTATTATTATTGCCGCGAGTATTTTGTGTTTATTTTTATAAATCTTTTGATTATATTTACGACGGTTTCAATAAATTCTCTGTAAATCATCTCGCTTGGTGGTGGTTTTTCGCAATAAAAACGCATTTTGGATTGAGCATCCGACTTCATTTCATTTCTCGCAACACTGACGCTTGATAAAGATGAAATCAATTCCTTCTTGGAATGTCGAACTTCATTTCATTGCTATGTAATGGCATTAATAAAGAACTCAGACATAATTCACTTGCACGCTCGTACTAATGAATAATCGAAAGAGATAGAAAAAAAATACAAAACCTGACCAAAGCTATCAACTTTCATAAGTAGAACAATAGATCAGTTATATACCAAACTATGGTGATACCAAAAACAACATTTGTGTTGAAATAATAACGTGATAGCTCACAATGATTCCAGGCCCATATTGTGTATTGTGCCATTGTTCAATTTAAATAATTGATATTCTATGTGAGTGTGTGTGTAATGTGTATTATGCTAGTTGTCGCGAGTACTAAACGTTATGAAATGATAATTGAATGCGGTATCGTATTTCAGACATGGAAAGCCAACGTTCGTCTCGTGAGATGCAGTGCCAGTCGTATGTTTGACAATTGATTGTACGTCGATGTGGTGCACGTCACAAATTACATCAAATTATCTATATATTACATACGCATCTTATCGTTTATTTATTTTCAATTTTGTTAGCTCATTTGATCTTTTTACCATTACACTTTTTTTCCTATTATTTTATTTGCGCACAATTTGTGTTTGTTTTTGGTTCATTGTCTGTAGCGCAGGGCGCATAACTCGGCATCGATAAGCACAAAGAATTTAATTACTACATAATTGATTACGGTTAATATTGTTGCTTGCTCGTTCGATGTAATAATACTAAAATGTCACATATCTAAATGCATATATACGTGTGTGTGTGTGTGTGTGTGTGTGTGTGCGCATGTATATAAATTGCTCGATTCCAATGCACCAAACAACAATTTTATGGTGATATTGATAGCGGTTTCTATTTTATTTTCTTCATGTCGTTAAAATAATAATATAATTTTTCTACCGGTTTCTTTTTTCTTTCTTTCTCGATGCATATCACATCAGTGGATTAAATTACGCCAGAGCACAAGCGCCAACAAGCCATAAACGTCCAAAACATTGTGCGCTTCAATACAAATCAAATTGAATGATAAATTGCATTTGCCATTGAGGAAAATGAAGAAGTTAAAATATAAATCAAGATTGAAATTGAGACAAAGACAAAGAGAACCAAACGAGAGAAAAAAAAAATAAACCGAGAAAGAAGTTTATCTTGATTTGGATGCGAAATAAGCTCGCAACATAATTGTCTGCAACATTCTCTATGTGTCATTTCGTTTCAAGACAAACCGAAAGAAACTTGAACTTCAGTCTTGATGAACTATGTACAATCAATGTATACAGATGTGTGTCAAAAAATATAACATGCCTCATAATACAGTGAATCTAATTTTTTTGATAGACAAAATAACAAGCAAAGTAAGCAGAGAAACTCTCCACTAACATAGGATTCATATACGAATGGCGTGTGAGTGGAGTGTGTCATGCAAAATGTTGTCTACCAAAAATATTAGATTCACTGTATATGGGTAAAGTGGTTGATAAACCAAATATTTGTTGTTATTTACGATCGAAGCGTGTGGACGCAGTCCAGAGACGATCTTTTTTGGTTCTCAATTTTGATCCGAGGGGATTCATCTTTTTCAGGGATTATAAAGACTTACACCCCTCTCCAAAAAATCTTTGGCTTCCACACCTTTATTTACGATTTCCTAAAGATTCGATTAGATATTTATCGTTTGAATCAGTTTATTTATTTTTCGTAGTATATTTCATTATTGATGTAATTGTAATTTCATTTGGTCACGAAACAACAACAAATACACATGAAAATGAAACAACACCATGTATTTAACATCGATTGATAATTTGTCATACTTGAAACAAATGCGTGCACTAAAACAACAACATCCAAGTCATTTGCGCACAAACAAAATCCAAATTAAGTCCATTCACAGATAAAAATCACTTCGCTCGTCATGACTTATATGAATCTCAAAAACCAGTTCAAATGAATTCCAACTCTAATTGACATGGCCGAGATGTTGCTGTTTTCATTCCTTTTCAGTTTTATCTTTCTTTTTTTTTAATATAGTATAGAGTGAGTGTTCAACTTGAGAACGAAAAAGGAGATCTAAGTTGGTGAACTTCAATCAGTGTTAAATTGAGAGAGAAAGAGAGAGACGGAAGAATCAGTGAAATGACAAACGATCTTAGATGCATGGTACCGAAGGTATTTTTATAATGCTTAACGAAACAGTAGCTAGTGATTCTATATCGATCTATTTTTATCAGCGGTTAGTCTCTTTGTGAACGAAATTTTACACAGACACACATTATATGAACATAATCACGAGAAATGTCTTGAATTCCTTTTGTTGGCAGTTGTTGTTTATCTTTCGCTTCTTATTCTGTTTCGATTGTCTTTATTTCATTCGACGGGTTAGCTGCGCTGAAATGCAGCCGCAGAAACATGC